CTATAACCGGCAATCGATAGACGCCAAAATACAAAATTCGGTAATATTGCGTTTCACAATTATGAAAGAGCTTTTTTAGTGCGTTAAATAGAGTTGCTGGTGAAACTAAATTGTGCTAGTGAAACTGGTGACTATCTAAAATCTGATTGGCTATTGCACTTAATAGCCAATCAGATTTTAGATAGTCACCAGCACAATTTAGTTTCACCAGCAACTCTAGTACGAAATTTGTGCTGATCATTGGAATTTTCTTATCAGTTATATCAAGAAAATAATCTGCATCCGATATAAAACAATTTCGATAATAATAAAAAATCGGTTTTAGAATAAATTGCAAATCATTTCTATATCGCGTAAAATACCTTACTGCATATAGCTAATCAGTGAGCCGGTTTTACGTACATACTTGATTAGGATACTGTACCTGGTACATGATTGGAGATTATGCTACGTATTATTTATGTGTTTGCTATTATTATTTGTCAGAAATTTCGAGAATGAAATAAAATTAAAGATTTTCTATTCATCCTTTTCAAATAATTTTCAATACATTTAAAGAATATTTTTAAAAGAAAAAACTATTTATAAGTCAAAATTTTGGCTATAAACCAATCTATTGTGCATAATATCTTACTAATTTTAACCTACTCTAATAATAAAAATATTTTTTTATATTATATGCAATTATCTAATGCTATAAGGGCAGGGACATGAAAACATATCGATACAAATCTTTTCCCGAATGAAAGGTGTATATGCTATTGAACAAGGACTATGTGCAATAGCCTTTCTAAAATTGCGTTCACCTTTAATTGTAAGACTTTAGGAGGAGATAAGGGGTTTGGGTGCAATAAGTGCGGACTTCAAATAAATAGGGACTCAATGGCACCCGAGAAATTTTACTTCATGCTTTGCTTATTCAATCTATCTTATCAATTTAATATTTATTATGAATAGTAATATTAAAAAACTTTGCGTCAATTAAACATCATTATTCTGGTTTGCAAATTATTTATTTTAGTTATTTAATTTATCGTTATTTGTGTAATTTCTTTACACTATTTTATCTAAAACAAAGTACAAATGCAAACCAGACAAAAAACAGAATAAAACATAAATAAATAAATATGTTAAAAACCCTTATTACTAATAGATGATCTCATGACTAAGTGCTCGTCACAATAATTTATTTCTTTGATAATTGCCTTTAGGATGCCTACCATATTAAAATATTGTAGCATTGAGAGAAACAAGTCTTTCGATTAAAAAAAATTTATGAAGTTTGTTGATTGACAGGAATTTTATTGGTAATAAGTTTAGTAGACGTTTTTTTTTTTTCTAGTTTCTTAAGTTCTTTTAAAATATCGTCCAATGTTGGACGTTCGTCAGGATTTGTAGACCAACATTTCTTGTAAAGTTTGACGTAACCTTTAGGTGTGCCGATAATATCCTTTTCTCTTTCATTATTTCCAATTTTTAAAATTATCGCATAGTTATCAACATTACTAAATGGTTGAATTCCGCTTGTAAGCTCCCAGAATAATACACCTAGGCTATAAATATCGGAGTTCTCATTATAATCGAAATTGCTATAATTAATGCAGCGTTGTGGATCGGTGTATGCCGGCATGCCTGCTCCTATCGAGCTTGAAGAGTATTTCGAAGCATCATCCAATTGTTTTGATATACCAAAATCAGTAATTAAGGTCTTTCCATTATGAAATAAAATATTCTTAGAATGCAGATCCCGATGAAGGATTGTTTTGGAGTGCAAATATTCCAACCCTATGGCAATATCTCCAGCAATTTTGATAAGTTCAACCCATGAAATTTCATAAAAAGAATCTCTTATTTTTTTTCGTAAATAATCCCGTAGATTACCATCATTTGCAAATTGTAACACCATCATGAAATTACCCGACGTTTGATCTCTTGAAACTCCATGAAATTTAATGATATTTGGATGATCAACCTTATAAAGAATTTTAATCTCGCGCCTGAATTGATAGAATATTTTTTTACCCATGCATATATTACCGTTTAGATTTTTTAATGCATATTTGTTTCCTTCAAAAACTACTGAGTATACAACTGCGAATCCACCATTTCCGATAGTTTTGAAGTCGCTCCATTTTGAATGATCAAAACATTTTATATTGTATTTTTTTTAAATACGCTTCTAACAGTTCCGAATATTCATTCATTGGTTTTCCAACGACATCTATATTATTACAACCTAAGCCACCATTCAATTCAATGCTATTTTCCTCCTCAGAGTCCGTATCCACTTCCGATCTCTCCTGATCCTTGGGTGAGATGTTGATATCTACATTTATATCCTCAGGAATATTGATGGAAACATTTTGGATTTTTATAAAATTTATATTTTTTTTGACGGGATTAATTATGTTGTCATTGTTGTTAATAGGTTCAATGATGTTGTTGATATCTGTGTTAATGATGTTTGGATTAATGTTGTTATTGTTGATAGGTTCAATGATGTTTGGGGGGTTGTTGATAGGTTCAACGATGTTTGAGGGGTTAATGATGTTGTTGATGTCATCGTTGTTGGGTTCAATGATGTTTGAGTTAATGTTGTTATTGTTGATAGGTTCGATCATGTTTGAGGGGTTAATGATGTTAATATTTAGGTTGATGATTTTATCTTTGTTGGGTTCAATGATGTTTGGATTAATGATGTTATTGT